TGTAGCCTAACACTTGGGCCCATGCTGGTCGTGCTTTGGCCTTTTCCGGCATGCAGGAGAAAGGGCTTTGGTTTGGATGAAGGTGTTGCATTATAGTGCCACATGGACCTCCAAGTACATGATTATTATGCGTTTTTGCTGTGCAGCGCAATAGCAGTGCTATACCCGAAGTTTCAGCCTCCCAGCTTTTCTGGTTGGTGGGATGATATAGCGTTGCTACAGCTAGCAAAAACGCATATTGTCGAAAGGCTGTCTGTGTGTGTGTTCGGAAGCGAGTGCATTTTGTCACCCAGTTTCATCTCAGCAACCAGGAAAGCTGGGAGGCTGAAACTTTGTTTATATGTTCCTACCTCGTGTGCCATCCTCCCGCTTTAAGATCTTTCCCATACGCGTCTAGACCCGCATGCAGGACCCCCAAAGAAATACGTTGGCGGGAAACGATTTCGCGAACCAGGCAACGTAGAAAGCTATAACTTTACAGGGATATTCTCTATGCATATGCAAACTAAAGATTTTGAACTCAGCTGTCGAGTCCCCCAGCCACAGCCTGAAGCAGCTCCTCAACCCAAAAATCGTTCGCAACTCGGACTTGAGCCGCAATCTTGTGTGCATATGATCACGGATTTTTGGAAAAACGACCGTCCGAGCAATGCTTCCAATTTTTAATGAACTCGAAATTCGCATTTTTTTCAAAAAGTCGTTCGCCGGACCTGAACCGCAATTGTATAAGTAAATGAACACGGATTTTTTGACAAATGACCGTTCGAGCAAAATTTCCAATTTTTCATAAACTGGTGATTTGCATTTTTTCAAAAAATTTGTATTTGTCATTTTTCACAAGGCGAGCATTTACCGAAAAAACGACCGAACTTCATGCAAAAAACCGGTAATCATGCATCTGAATGTCCGTGCGGCTCTATAATGCACTGCCTTCATCCCAACTGACGCCCTTCCTCCTGCATGCCAGAAAGGATCAAAGCATGCTATTATGACCCAAGTGTTAGGCTACAGCATAGGGATCATTCCTGCTAATAGCGATCAGCGAGTTTAGTA